ACAAACCCAGGGTCCATTACTAGGAGCTTTCTTCTTCTGACGGCATTTACTCCTTATCTTGGTATTTTTAGAATTGCTCATTACAAATTCAGGACAAAACAACCAATCAAAAAGCGTCTTGAACAATGAGTTTCTGAATGGCCGACCRCCGGCAGCAGCCGTTCCGAGGAAGAAGAGGAAGAGTTTTAGGGTWTTGAATTTTACTTTTAGAAGACATACTTACCTCCGAAAAAAGGAAGGCAGAATCACCTTCCTTTCATATTTAGTTTTTAATGCACAACCGAGAGTCATGATGGATAATCACTTTTTCATTGAATTATATCAAGATCATCTCCAGAATAAAAACGACAAACCAAACAAACCCACAAAACATACATTTTCACTCGGTCCAAATAAAGTCTTATTTATTTTTTTTTTTTGGTTTTAATATTGTAATGCTTTTGTGGACTGACAAACTTGTAAAGGGATTTACAAGTTCCGTGTAGAAGCTGAATACTATTCAAAGAAAATACATAATGTCTGCGATACATACTGCGATACACACTGAGGATTAGATAGTGGGAGAGGATCGCAAATGAAAGTGTTAGAGAAATGAAAGAAGTAGAAGAGCTCAGCAACGAAATAAGACGTAGGAGATGGAAATGGATCGGGCTTATCTTAAGAGGGGGAAGGTAAAATAGCTAAAAATTAGTTAAAATAGAAAGTTAATGWTTGATAGCTCTGGAATGGAAGGAAGAAGAGCAAGGGAAGACTATTTGGAGAAGAACGGTCGGTACTGAAAGAAAGGGAAAACGCAGAATGGAAGACTTGGAAGAGATAGAGATGGCTGGAAGGAGGAAGGGGGGGGGGRGGGGGGGTTAGGCCTTATGTGCAGGTCTTCTTCCTTTCACCCAGCATTTACTTTAAATACACTCATAAATATTTAATTTTCTAGTCATAAATATTTTTTGTACAGTTTATAATTATGTATATATGTAAAAATAACTAGAAATTTGACAGCAAATAAATTTTAAACATTTGAAACTAAAATGAGGTGGAAGGAAATACAACTGTGAACGACGAAATCTGGAGCCGAMATGATTTACTAAAATCAAGAAAACATGTAATACGTGATTGCCCACATGACGCGCATTCCAAATATGGTGACTTCTGCGAAAMAATCTTAATAGTCMCTTTTCCCTTTCAAAGCGAGCGACCGCTTTTTTAGTTGACAACAGTCTCTCTAGTAAAGAGACCWTTCCAAAAACAAAAGAAARCACGAAAAAATTTTGTCATTACAATAGCACAACGAGTTTGCATTCTCTCTRWTTTGAGGCTAAKCCAAATGATCTAGGTCTTGTGGGAATACAACCTTAAGCGTGGATTTCACTAGCGCATAAGCATAGCATAAGCACAAGYATGASARTCATATGCGCCWGTGAGAACGGGCTSGACATAAGCATAAGACATTGAGCATGCGCACGAGCGTAATATTTCGGTACCAGGCTATGCTTATGCCTATGCAGTCCCGTTYTCACTGARCATAAGCATGAGATAAGCATGAGATAAGCACAAGAAGATCAAGACTTGCTCGTTTTTCTTGTGCTCATGCTTATGCTTATTTTGAGCCCGTTCTCACTGGAGCATATGACTCTCGTGCTTCGTKCTTATGCCTATGCTTATGCGCTAGTGAAATCCACGCTTTAGCATCAAATCGGAGAAGATTCAAATTTCTAGAGCTATTGTAATGTCAACATTTTTTCGTGCTTTATATATTTTTTTTTTTTGGCAAGTTCCCTGTGCAAGTGAGTCTACTACTGTAACAGCGGTGTAACTCTTAGAACGAGAACAAAGCGTATTATGACAAGTGACAAGGAAACGTCTATTCCTTCTATGCTTATTCTAAATCTAGCGCTTTAATAAAGATACTACCACTGAAAGCGTTGATGCACAGAAAGCTAGAACCAAGGCTGTTTTCCAAGGGTTCTTGATCCAAGGGAATTGAAATGCTTCCTCTTCTCCAAGGACGTCTCGTTTCAAGTACTGAAGTGCAGCTTCCTTCCAATGGTCGACACCTTTGTATTCTATGAAGTCTGGATGGATGTTTTCGATGGCCTAAAAATTGTTTGGATATATCAGACGCATCATTAGGTGAAGAGATAAATAGTAGAGAGTTTACGCATCACGTTTACGGCAAACGGCTAACGGCAGAGCTGAACCAATGACCTAAGAATTTCGTGCCTGACCTTGTGCTTTAGGTAGTCATTGGAAAGAGTGAAATTTCAGTTTTAATTCCACTGGGAAAACTGCTCATTGTTTGGTGATTAATCTATGTCAAACGCCAGATAATGACTGCCCACAGAATACCACAGTGATAAAACCCCAGTGATACATACATCAGAACATTCGGAGAACAACGCTTCCGCCATCTTGAAAAGTGAGACCCGCATCTTAGAACACATTTCTAAGATGTGCTAACTCAACTAATCTATCATTATAACGTAATATATTAATATATTTTAATTCTTTTAGGATTTACAATTTTTAAAATGATTCGAGTCCCACTTTTCGTGATGGCCAACGCATTGTTCTCTGAAAGTACTGACTATATAGTAATGCTGAAAATAACGTCAT